TACTTTGGTGAAAACCACCTGAAATAGGTATGTACACATCTATAATGTATCTGAGTATTGTTATGTGTTGAATATGTAAAATAAATTAGGCTATTTGAGAAAGCGTCCGTCATGCAAAGTACACTCGGTGACTTATAATGCGAGAAGACATATTTTGGATCAGTAAACAGGCCTACTTGTTATGGATATTGGTTGCGAATGAATTAACGCACATGCTGCACCTTTTAGTGCACGTCGTGACAGATAGGCTATGTGTTTTTTAAAAAGGAAGCTTTTGAAAGCGCTTTTTACTCGAAAATACATATTAAAACTAATGCAGTCGAGAAAGGCAAGCGGTCCAACCAATCATGTTAGAAAACAATCATGTCAGAAAGAGGGTGGAGCTCCTGCGTATTGACTTTTTCTGTTGCTGTAGTGTGTTGCTTGTTACCCATTAAAAACCTGCAAACGTACTTTTTGGAGAAACACGTAGGTGTCCTAAAAAAAAACTACAACCTTACGCTCTTTTCAGGTTCTAGCAAATACATTGTAATGATTTCTTATTAATTCTCTCTTATTTTATAGAACAAACTGTGCACACAGTGTCTTATATGATAGAGAGTGATTTATTTGTATAATAATTCATTTCTGATTTATTACACAGTTTGTGTAAAGTAGGTAGTACAACAGTACCGTGAATAAATAAAATTGAATATGTGTGCTTAATATTTGCTGCATTATTTTTAGTGGGATGTTGCTGGATTGGTGTGACAAGTTAATGACCTTCAGAGGTAAGTTTCTTTTTTGTTTTGTTTTGTTTTGATTTGTTTTGTTTTGTTTTAAATAAAAGTACTATATTTAGTTAATTTTAATGGTCTACATGCTTTGGAATGGTTTATATAATGCTACTTTTATGTCCTGTATTGTTGTAATGGTACAGTAAGAATAAAACTTGAAAATGAAAAATGAAAATTCTGTCTTCATTTACTCACCCTCATGTCGTTCCAAACATGTTTAACTTCTGCGAAACCTAAACGAAGATACTATTTTTTCATGAATATGTTGAATTAGTTCTCATTTTAATTTTTCTATTTTCAGTAATTTTGTTACTTTTTTGTCATTTTTAGTTCTTTTTTAAAGTGTGTGTAATTTTTTATTAATTTCTATTTCAGTTTTAGTTATTTTACTACATCAGTTTAAACTAATTGAAAATGAGAAATGCTGTCAACTAGCTGAAATAAAATAAGTTAAATTTTTTAATATTTTATTTTATTTCAGATAGTTAATTTATTTCAAGTAACAAAATTTTTTTTTATGGTAAAATATACGGTTATTTTTTTAGTTGTTTCTGAACGTTTATTTTTCTTTAATAGGATAGCATATCCTGAATTCTTCAACCCCTGTGATTGTTATATTTACGATGGCATCAGTCAAAGTGAAACCACAGAGAAGACTGAGCTTAGACAATCCACCTAATAGTGAGTTGACAAACAATTCAGAACATTTAAGAAATTACGGTTTATTTGATTAACAGTGAAAGATGTTTGAACTTCATCTCACAGTGAGCAGAGAAACACCACTGAGGATGCTGGTCTTTGGCGGCTCAAGTCAGGATCAGATCTCACTGACACGGTCTGTGCTGGGGCAAGACGTCTTTACCAGAGATGAAGTCAATATTTCAGCTACCAAGAAAAATTCAGGGGTTGTTCAGGAGAGAAACATAACCCTAGTCAATGCACCAAATCTTCAGGATAATGACTTGCCAGACAGTATACTTCATAAGGAGCTCAGGAAGGCAGTTTGTTTCTCATGTCCATGTCCTCATGCTGTGGTGTTCGTTGTAGACCCATTTCACTTGACCTCTGACACTATGGACATACTGAAGCCTATGGTACACTACTTTGGGGAATGTGTCTTGAAGCACACATTGATTGTTTTATACTATGAGCGAGGCATGAGAACTCCGTCCATAGAAGATGAGGTAAAAAAGAACAAGAGCTTTAGAGAGCTTGCTGAGAAATGTAGCCAGAACTACCTCTTCTTCAATGGAGAAGTAAACTGGACTGAGGGTAGCCAGACACAAGCATTGCTAACCAAGGTGGATAAGATGGTCCGGGAGCATGGAATGTTTTCAAACATGGAATTTAAGGATGCCGAAAAAAGAATTCAGATAGAGGAGCGTTTCATCAAAAAATCAAAGGAGAAAGAGATCAGGGAGACATTGAAGGCGCTGGAGAACCAACATTCAGGAGAAGCGCTTGCCAGTGAGATCCTGAGGTATGAAGAAAAGATACAGTCGGAGTGCCGAGAGAAAGCAGAGCTGGTTGTTGCAGACAAGCTTGGCTTTACGGTTAGATTGGTTGATTATGCTGTTGCAGTGGGGAAAGGTGCGTTTGTTGGTGCACTTCTGGGATTTGCAGTAGGATATGAAGGTATGGCAGTGGGAGCTGCTGTTGGTGCTGGTCTTGGTGCTGCGCTTGGAGGTGCAGCTAATGCAGCATGGAGCTACATTTACAAATCCTTTACAGATGCCCACTAAGGGGTAGGGGTGCGACGATAAATCAATCCCATGGATTGATTCTGCGATTTTCTGAATGCATCGCGATTCTCTCTGGAATCGATTCTGAGCTTAGTTTTTAACAGCAGATGGCACTGTGTGCTTTAGAAACAGTAATGTGCTCGCTTCCAGTTCCATACACACACACACCACTTGAATCTAAAATAATCATTCATAAAGTTCTTAAAGGTTGAAGCGAATTACAAGAGTGTTCACAGTGGGTTGTGTTTACATTAATCCCGCATCATAAACACATAAAAGCCGAGGTGCAAGTACATTTAACCACTTACATTACTCAGTCGAACGCACAAGCGCACTTTTTCGTGAGCATTTGAGTGTGCGATTAAAAACTAGCCTAGAGCACCATCTGCTGTTGAAAACTAAACTCAGAATCGATTCCTGAGAATCGCGATGCATTCGGAAAATCGCAGAACCGATCCATGTATCGATTTATCGTCGCACTCCTACTAAGGGGCTACTTAGTGCATAGTGTCGGCTTCTGACAACCCTGGATCTCCCATAGAGGTGTGCATTGCATTATTGACAAGAAATTATATCTTAATATTTTTTTGTGATTTTTTTTGTCGATAACTATAATTAAGCAATATTTTGATTAGTGTGTTTTTGTGCTGGTACCTTGGCTGGTTTGGGCCTGTTATGAATAAATAAACATGACACTAAAACCGCCAGTAGGTGGTGGTAAATCCCTTAATGAGTGATTCATTGAATCATTCATTCAAACAATTTGTTCAAAATGGCTGGTTTATTTAGAAATGAGCCGCGTGGCTGCCTGTCTTAATGATTTGTTCAAAAACTGATTAATTCAGAAACTAAACACTGCAGGGTTGCTCTGAGAGACAAAAATGTTCTGCTCCAGCTTTGTTTGGAAATAGTTGTGTTGGTGAAACAGAGGATAAAAATACAATATTGTGTCTAGAATTTCACTCAATATTAACTTCTTGTTTTTGTGAACTGTTGTATAAAGTTAATAGGAACTTTTGCGATCACACTCGAGCACTAATATTCATGAAAATGGCACTCTTGCTTATGTGATTTTACATCATATCGTATAAATAAAAATAACATAATATTAAATATAAATAACAACCCATACAGGGATATTTTTGCCCTCATAACTTATAGGGGCATTTTTTTTTACTTTGTAATAGACTGCATCATGCAGTAAATGCTTTTGGACTTTCAAGATGTGTTTTTATTTTTTTATTTTTTTTTGCAGAGTTACTTACTTGATAATGTGAGCTCACATATCATTAAAACAACAATTATGATATTATTGTAGACAATAAATTTTGCACACCTCTTCCTCCCACAAATCATCAAATGCATATTGCAATTAGAAGCTGATTTGGTTGGCTTTAAACATTGTCTGGAAGTAAAGAAAATAAGTTTTTTTTAATTTTAATTTTTTTTTTTTTTTATCCACAATGATACAATGAGGGTTTCTGGGGATGAAGTAGGCTAGTCACTACATTTGCCAATGTTTGTCATAGCTTTGTGGGCAGCTACTGAGTTCCAGTCCTAACTTAAGGTCCTTTCCTTGTCCTTTTCCCATATAAAAAAAAAATCGCTTTTTTGCCACTCATTAGAAACATTGTCTGGAAGTAAAGAAATTTTTTTTTTATCCACAATGATACAATGAGGGTTTCTGGGGATGAAGTAGGCTGGTCACTACATTTGCCAATGTTTGTCATAGCTTTGTGGGCAGCTACTGAGTTCCAGTCCTAACTTAAGGTCCTTTCCTTGTCCTTTTCCCATATTAAAAAAAAATCCCTTTTTTGCCACTCATTAGCAAAGCACACACTATAAAAACATGTTTTAACTTAATTTGAATTCAATACATATAAAGATAGTAAAGATATTTATAAATCATGATGTGTAATCGCCAATCAATCTGTAATGCTATAAAAGTGTTCTGACTCAATAATCTTTACAGCTGCCACATCTGACTGTGACGTCTATATATAGCCATTATTTTGTAATCAAAATGGAAATCATTATTGCTGGTCTTCGACAATAATTGCAAGTCATTTTAATGCATTTATATCAAATTTTTAAGGATTTATGCTGATATTGCACTTTAGGGCATATCTAAACTTTTGGAGGGCACTGTGTGAATGTATTTTTAATACATTTTAAACTGTAAATATGTTTGTACAAGAGATTTTATACGAGATGTTGTTTATTTGTAAAATATATATACATATATATATATATATGTGTGTAAACTAGTTGTATGAAATTTGTTGTATAATGCTGTACATTTGATATTTTGTCTAAATTAGTAATAAAATCTACTTCAACACTTTAAAGCTATTTGAGTCTATTTATGATCTGGTAAGGTGTGTGACTCAGTGTAAAGTACAAGGCAGGCATTGTCTGGCTCCTCCCCTTGCTGGAAACACACCTATGTACTTTATGGTCTAGTTCACTTTATGAAACTCACCGTAGGAGACGTGAACGACTCTCTTCATCTGCTGAAGTACAGGTAAGATCCAATGAGATTTCCATGAACTATTGTCCTGTAACTTTAAATGTTAGCTCACAATGTAAAGGGTAACTGGTACAATACAACTTTTTAGAAAGATGATACAAATAAGTGTAAGTCAATTTGAATGATGTAATTGTATAATACAATTACATTTAGAAATACACAGTTCATGTTTAAGTTAGACCTGTTACTAAATGTTTATAGCTGCCGTTTCAAAAACATGTCTGAAAATCAGTCCCGAAACCTGCTAGATAAATATTTAGATTTGTCCTGAGGACGACATGGGGTTTCTGGTTGAACCCGTTCTTCTCCATACCACACGCTCAGCAGAGGCCTCTGAAGAGCCCCATTACACTCAGTGGAATGCTACACAAACTCATTATATAAAGCGTTTGTAAATATTTGCATAGACACAATAGCTCAAGCTTTCCTCTATAAATGACAGTTGTTGCAGAAAGTCAACTTAGCTTACAAAGAGCACAGCATAATGTGTTTTCTTTTTTATTATTAACCCTGGTATGTTGTGTTAAATAAGTCTGACAAGAATTTTCCGGTCTCTTATCTTAGTTAATGTGTTTCCATCCTACAGCAGACCATCACTAGTCACTTATTCATGATTCCTGGGACAAAACAGGCTATACAAATAGCCATATGTGCAGCAGACATTTATTTAATTACATGAAGTTGTGAACTTGTACAGGGTTTATATGGGTTTTAAAAAGTCTTAATTTGCAGATTAAGGCCTTAAAAGTCCTAAATCAGAGCAGAAAGTTGTAAATTCATAAAAGTCATGCTGAAAATTAAGATCTTCCTCAGTATTTTTGTCTTGTTTTCCAGTACAAATATCTAAACATCCTTAAATTAAGCTGCGTTTATACTTTAAATGCGAAATATATATGAAGTCTTGTTTTCTCAGAAATGTAACACAATTAAGTGAGTTTATGCTTAAAACAAGAACAAACATCAGTCAGTCGAGTATGAAAACGTCTTTTCCTCTGAATTATGTTGAATTATGTTGATCTTTCTCAGCCCATTGGAAGATATATCTTCTTGTTTTAATCATAACTCACTTCATTTAGCTTCTTAAGTAAATTAATCTTGATTTAACAATCTTTAGAAATGATTGTTGAAGAAATCACTTTTTTACAGTGTGATCAAAAGGTACAGTAATAGTTATTTCCATTTAGTCTTTGGGAGCAGTAGCATTCAAGCTTGACGTTTTTATTTATTTATTTATTTTGGAAAAGAAGTAAAAAATTAATTCTTCTTGTCAGTACATAACATTTAATTTGCTACATTTTATTTGATACATTCATTTGATAGATGGTTCATTTCTGTGGAAATTTTGTGACGTTGCGCTCTCTCAGGAATGGAATCTACCATCAGTCTCCTGTCTGAGAAGCACTTCCTGTGCTCTCTGTGTGAGGAGATCTTCAGCAACCCAGTGACAACGCCCTGCGGACACAGCTTTTGTAAAGCATGTCTCCGTGTTTACTGGAGCCGCAGCGGGTCAGACGAGTGTCCGCTCTGTAGGAGGGCCTTTGGCTCCAGACCCCATATCAGCGTGAACCGCATACTGGCGGACGTCACTGAAAACTACAGGAAGACACGTTTGGCTGCTAAATCCAAGTTCTTCAGTATGGATGAACTTCAGGATGAACCTGTGAGTACTTTCATTAAAAAACTAAACTAAATGTATACTCCCGTTTATTATACTACATGTTTGTAATGTTTTTGAAGGACTTTATGCTCACCAAGGCTATATTTATTCAATCAAATATATAGTAATACAGTCAAATAATACAATTTGAAATAACATTTTTCTATTTGAATCTATTTTACATTTTTAATTCATTCCTGTGTTGCAAACCTGAATTTTCAGCTTCATTACTCCAGTCTTCAGTGTCACATGATGCTTCAGAAATCACTCTAATATACTGATTTGCTGCTCAATAAACATTTCTTGTTATTAGCTATGTTGAAATCAGTTGTGCTGCTTAATATTTTTGTAAAATAAAATATATTATATGATACATTTTTCTCAGGATTCACTACACAATGTAAATGAAGTAGATTTAATGATTAATGATGAAAAAAAAAAAACTTAACAGTTCTGTGGTTTTGTTCTTCACTCATGTACTGCAAACAGAAGAATGCAGGAGAGGTGCAGCAAATGATTCAGGAAAGAGTTCAGAAGATTGAGAAACTTCAGAATTCCTTAAAGCTCCTAAAGGTATGTGACCGATTGCAACACGGTGAATAAAACCACGACCACAAATAATATTTCAATAAATAAGAATTTTTTTTGGGGGGGGGGGGTTAAAGATTCTGGCTAATCTTATTTTTTTGAATTAGGCTATTTCTAAAAGAAAACCTGTTCTTCCTCCAAACAGAGCACATGTCTACGGGAGGTTCAGGCAAGTCAAAGGGTGTTTTCTTCTATGTTGAGCACCTTAGAGAAGAGCCATAAACTGGTAGTGGCTGCTGTTGAGCAGAAACAAAAAGAGGCAGAGAAAAGAGTTGAAAGACTTGTAAAAGACCTGGAGAAAGAAATGCTTGAACTGGAAAATGGACACACCATCCCTGAGCACTTGGATGACAAGGAGCGTCTTAAAAAGGTAACCACGTTTAATTTCTCTTTTGATAACACAGTAAAGTTTTGCTTTTATTTTTAATGTTTCTTTATGTCGTTTGACATGCTGAATACAAAAATCACATTACTTTTGTGTATCATTAACAGTGCTCATGAAAATAAATAAAAAAATGTTGAAAAGCTAATCTGTTATTGCTTATGCATAAAAATGACATGCTACACACATAATACTGAGCAACAACAGTTTAACATAAACAACATGAGTTTTTATTTTAAAATGTATTATTTTAAGTATTATAAAGTATTATTCTTCCCAAAAGTGAAAACCCAGTAATCATTTACTCACATTCATGTTGTTCCAAACCTGTATGTTATTTTTTTTTCAATAGCTACAGCATGAATAATTTTTGTAGAATCTTTACACAGCTCACACAACTAGTGATGTCTGTTCCAAAAAAGGCTCAGAAAGAACCAAAGAACACAATAAAAGTAGTCAATATGACTTGTGTGTAATATTCAAAGTCTTCTGAAATCATGTAATAAGTGGAGAACAGATTGAAATTGATGTTGTTCTCAAAAAAAAAAAAAAAAACACCATAGTCATACAGATATGGAATGGCATGAGGGCAAGCAAATAATGACATAATTTTACTTTTGGTGAAGTTTTCCTTTTAGCGAGTATTGCATAGTATAGAATAATTGACGTATTTTCATCTACAGAGCTTCAGTGATATACCACGAGCGATGAGAGACTGGTCTAAAGTCACACTGGAGACTGATCCTTGTGTTGGCTTCACCAGGCAGGCTGTGGTGGACTTCATGGATACAGTCACGATGGAAGCTAAAAGACTTTCTAAAGCTGGTATGACTGCATGATTAAAATAATGCAGTATATACTTCAGTATTTCATACTGTCCTCCTAGCTTGTCCTTCTTCTTTTGCCTGTTAGTCCTAAACATACTTCTCACAGCTTCTTCTGTTAATCATGCTTATGCTTATGCGTTTTTTAGCATTTAAAACATTAATGCTTCTATGTTTTGGGGTCAAAAGCTGTACAATTTTAGTGTATGACCACATTTAGCTTCTTAAAAGAACCGATAACATAACTGGTGACAATACATCCACGCCAGTAGATGGCAGAATTGGGTCCAAGACTGTTGTGGAATTGGGCAGTGAAACTATATAAATCTACATAACAAATATGTTCATGTTTCAAAAATAAACAAATTTACTATGTTTCACGAACGGGGCTTAGCTTAAGCCAGGACTAGACCTCAGTTAAATTAAGATATTTAAGCAACTTTTACAAAAATGCCTTAGAAGAAATTACAGGTGTGCATCTTGACACAGAACAACGACACTGACATATTTTAAGATATGTCAGAGCAAGATATTTTCAGTTGAGACAGCTCAAACATGCATTTTAGTCTGGGACTAGCTTAAGCCTTGTCTGTGAAACCGGGGGTATATGTACAGTGCTGGGTGTTAACTAAGCTGGATTACATAATCAAATTGAAAATGAAATAAAGTACTTGTAATTAGATTATATTACGTTTTAAAATCTTCATAATCAGATTATAGTTGCTTTTAAATATTATTCATACAATGGCAGTAAATTATTCATAATTTATTGATTCACCTCGGTTCTTTTTTGTCTTTAAAATTATTTCCAAATGAACCTAATAGTTATATACATGAGACCAATAATTATGTTACTTACTTTAAAGTTACTAAACAGTGCAGATGCATGGCTGTGAAATAGTGTGTCTTTATTAATATCGGAAGCCTGGACAAAAATATTTCAAGCCTGAAAGACTTTGGCCATGTAATTTCATGTTTTCGTGTTTATTAATGTTTGTTCATGTAATCAATCATCAATCATCAAACTGTATTAAGGACACACTCGGTCCAAACAAAGACACAACAATAACAACATACAAAAACACACACAAGGACAAAAACCACAATATCACATATTTACATGTGTACTAAAACGCCAATGATTCCACATATTTGAAAAAAGCCTGACTGAACTTAGTGCCAAGGATCCCCAAGGATCCTAAGGTTTTGTAAGGATCCCCAAGGATTTGACATTTTTATGATTTTGTTAATTAGTGGCTCGGTACACGATAATCACATTCAAGTCTATGTGATAAACAAGTTAGGTCAAAAGTAATGTAATCTAAAAGTAATCAAAAAGTAGTCAGACTATTACCTAATATGTGTAATTCAGATTATGTTACTGACTACAATTTTCATCATGTAAATTTGTAAACAATAGTTGACTAGTAATCTACCCAGCACTGTAAGTATACATATATGCTTTAAAAAGTGTAGTCTTCACAGATCCTGAGCACATGCCAAATTTGCGAATCAACCGAATCAACATGGCATACAGCGTACAACACTGTCTGTAAATATCCCTATCATCAGACAGGTCATCAGTTATATAATGCCCTAAGTATTTAACCTCATTACATACCTTAAGGACACTCCCAGACAGAGAGAAGTCAGGAAATGTCAGTTTCCTGTCCCCCCTACTCCTAACAATCATAATATTACTCTTTTTGGCATTATATTTAATATCAAACTCTGAACCATATCGAGAACAAATCCTCAGTAACTGTTGAAGACCAGCACTATATGGACAAAAAATCACCAAATCATCTGCATACATCAAATGGTTTATAATAGTATAGCCAACCATACAACCTGTTCTACAACCATTTAACAGCTTTGATAAACCTTCCATATAAACATTAATATATAATTAAATTAAAACATTAAATATATACATACACTGAATGGAGCAGACACACAATTACCCCATTTTACATACATTAATTGATGAGCATACCAAAAAACCAAAATTCTCACTAAAATTTGGGAACTCCTCTATTTTATAACTTAAAAAATAATTTTTCATGATTTACACGATCAAAGGCTTTAGAAGCATCAATAAAACACATAAAAATTGTGGAATTATGGCTGTTATAAAAATCTAAAATCTCCTTTAGAGCAAAAATACACATATCAGTGCCATGTTTCGGTTTAAAACCAAACTGGTTATCAGAAGTCAGGACAAAATGTTCCATCTTATTCAATAAAATCCTTTCAATAACCTTGGATAAAGTACTGGCCAAGGCTATAGGCCGGTAATTATCCATGCTATTTATTTTACCAGCTCTGTCTTTAATAATAGGCACTAACATAACAGATAAGATCGAATCTGGTAAAATACCATGAACCAAAAACCCAGTAAAACAAATAGCCAGCAAAGGATATAATTTTCTACTTGCAAATGTTAAATGTTCAGCAGATATCTTATCCATACCACATGCCTTATTACTTTTTAGCATCATAACTGCATCATAAACTTCTTGCGGAGAGACATTCACAACTTCATCATTATCAATGTTGCCCACTACAAAAGAGTTACTCTTAACACAGTTAAACAGCTCATAATAATGCTTTTGCCACATTTGAGTAATCTCCTCTGACCCGCTTACCCCACTAGGTAAATTGCCCAGATTTATAGACATAGAAAAAGGCACATGATCAGTAGTGGCAAACTCATAATTAATTCTCATGGACTCTAAGGAATCATGTGCATCAGTTGTGCAGATGCAATGATCTAACCATGAGGTTGTATGCCATGCATCACTGATATACGTGTAACTTTTAGCAGGTAAATGTTCTTTACTGGAGAGGACCAGACCATTATCAGAGCAAAACTGAATTAAATGATTGGCAAATAAGGAGCTACCATCAGAAACATCCGCATTCATATCACCCACAATAAAAAAGCATGTGGTAGCATTATCCTGAATAAAGGACATAACACAAGCCAACCTGTTAAGGTATTCATCTTCATTCTGGGGACTCTCATAAGGTGTATAAATGTTCAGAATGATGAACTTTTTCCCACCACCAATGAACTCAATTCCTATAGCCCAATCAACATCCAGTCTGAGAGAGAGAAAGAGATACAGTATATATATATATATATATACACAGAGAGAGAGAGAGATAAAAATGTGGTGTAATTAGCAGAAGACCTGCTAAACAATGATCATTTAAGAGCAGTTTAAATGTAAATGTTAAAGTAATTTTATGCCATTTATGTTTCATAAGCAATTTGTTATTTTTCAGAACTGAAGAGACTGCAGAAGTACTCAGGTGTGTTTTCATTGTACATTTATAGATGTTTTTATAGAATTAGTTTTCTGTCATTGTCTTCTCTGGAAAGCTAATCATCCGTCTTTCTTTTCAGTTGATGTAAATCTGAATCCTCGGACAGCTCACGCTTACCTCTACATCTCTGAGGACAGGAAGGAGGTTAGACATGCGAATAAGCGACAAGAAGTCCCAGAAAACCCCAAAAGGTTTGACCGGGTGGCTAACGTAATGTCCAAGGAAGCCTTCAGCCATGGAAAGCACCTTTGGGAAGTGGAGGTTGGAGACAAGACTGACTGGGATCTTGGAGTAGCCAAACAATCTGTCAACAGAAAGGGAAAATTTACCATTTGTCCAGCCAACGGCTTCTGGATGCTTAGCTTAAAGAATGGCACCCAATACATTGCTAACACATTCCCTCCAACTTTCTTCAGCCTCAGTCACGAACCTAAAAGAGTGTCTGTTTACCTGGACTTTGAGGAGGGACGTGTGTCTTTCTATTGTTTGGATACCGGAACTCATATCTACACTTTCAAAGATACGTTCACAGATAAGCTCCACCCCATCTTCAGCCCGGGACGACCCCACGGGGAAAAGAACACTGCTCCCCTTATCATCAGCAGCAGCTGCTGCAGCATCTGAAACACTATGCCAGCTCTTACTGCCCCTTCTCTTTCTTTACCATTGTCATCATAGGATGCAATTAATTATTATTATTATTATTATTATTACAATTATTACTTTTTATTTATTACTGGAGCTTGCTAAAACCTTATGTGTTATTGTGTTATTGCTACACTACAAACATGAATGATACCTCAAACTGTCCGATTTTTTTCAGGAGAGGTAGACTGTTTTTTAAGCGATTAGACATTGAGCTGATAAATAATAATAATAAATCCTGTCAAACCCCTGTGAAAAAGAAGTACACTTCATGGTGTTCTTCAAATCTTAAAAGTATATATTTTCTAAAAGACTGATCTTGCAAATACTATAATATTAATGGAAAAAGGCAACTTGTAGTAAGTGTACTTACAGAGAGTACAGTTTCATGATTATGTTTCTTAAAACACTTTTTTAAAAAGTTTTGTAATCATGTCGAATCAAACGCTTGACTTTAAAGTACATTTTAAATCATTATGTTTATCATTATGTTTTATCTTTTCTTAATCTTTTGTCAAGCTTTAAAGAAGTACACTTATTTTGATGTGTTGACTAACATACTAAAGCACTTGATTATAATTTAAATTGTTGTTGTGTTATTTGATATTACTTTTAAAGTTAATATATTTTAAATGTACTAAATTGCAGCTTCGTCATTTCAAATGTGCAATTATAAATATTTTTAAATGCATGACTTTCAATAGAAATGACATTAAAGTATATTTTTGTTTACTATAATTGATAGTCACTATGCTCGGCAGCACATTTTAACCATATTTAAACGACGATAATTATGAAATTATATATGGTATAAAGATGTTTCAACTAAATGCATTTAATATTAATTTAAACTATAATAAATGTTCACTTAATTGTAAGTAACAATAATTTAATTGTTAAAATCTTTTTAAAAGTATGCTCAGTGCTGATCCTAGACTTCTGGGGGCCCTACGCAAAACTTCGCCGGGGGGGGGTTTGAGTGGTTATGAACGAATGAATGAAACGCATTTGTCCGTGTTTCACTCCATCTCAAATCGCGCTCGCGGAAAGCACTTGAGAAACAGTGTCTCTTCCACCGCTCGGTACGCTTTCAACTCGTTTTTTAGGTCTCGAGCAAAAGACTGTATGACATTCACATTACATGATTTGGCTGATTTTTACGTAGAAAGGGCAGCAGCGCACCACATTAAAATAAATGATCATTCATGTGTTCATAACCGTTGGCCAATTTCAAAAACGAAACTAAAATTAAATCTTTGAGAGCAAGGGGGCCCCCTGGTGTTTCGGGGGCCTTACGCAGCTTACGTATTTTGCGTATAGGGAGGATCGGCTCTGAGTATGCTAAAGTGTACTTCTTTCTCACAAGGGACCACATAGCAACATGCTCCGAAACACTCAGATCACTTTAGCAACCCACAACATTGCAGCATCATGGTGGTGAAATTGTGTTATTATTACAATTTCTATAGGTTATGATCATCAAATTATGCAATTTGTAATTTAAATGAACAAAATGGTCTTATCCAATCTTTTAAACATTTAGAAGTTTCTAATCCAAAATGTACATTAGTTATAATTGTACTTTTTTTTTAACTTATTTATTCCTTAAATGCCATTGTCATGGGGCATGAAAGTAAGACGTAACTTGTATTCGCTCTGTGAACTTTTATGAAAGCAAAATGAATGAAAGGTAGTAAGAAACGACAGAATTCACTTCAAGGAACAAGAAGGCAAAGGATGAAAAAGAGGACTAGATGGATGGCTTGGGTTGGGGATGGAGGAGCGTGAGGGCGAGAGAACAGCGAGTCATTGTGCTGGTACACCAGGCACTGGGAGACACACTCAAGACACATTAACGTATTCACACACTGACACGAATGCTCACATAAGCGCATGCTTCTGCCCACCGCTGCACAGACCCGAGCTGGCATCCCAGAGGGCAGCACTTCACTCCTGTCCTTGCCTCTGAAACTTACAACCAAAGTTACATTCACTCAAGCTGAGCCTCTTCAGAGGTCTGAATCTACAGGTTTCACCTCCATCACAGGTTTATGGCATTTCGGGTCAAGCTCTACATCCAGATCGAAGGTACCCAACCCGAGAAGGTGGAGGATTAGCAGATTAGTGACTGTGGAAGGAGTTAAACTTCAGAGACCTCATTGTCGTCCATCAGGTAACAACAATTTCAGTCATTTATAATGGAAATCAGAAGTTTGGTTCAGTAAATAACTTGACGTGTTACTAAAAGAACTAACAATTTTGTCAGGCTATTTATAAATGTGTGTTTTTGAGGTTTATGCTTGAAGCTAAATGCTTATGAAGCACTGTTACAGCAGCATTCAGATTTGACATAAACAGACTCAAGCCTGCTTGGCCCACTCTGAATGTTTCAAAGAAAGCTTCTTGTGTCCAGAGGCTCCTCATGTTTTTTCTGAGATAATCCACTCACCCCACCAGGCGTAGCTCTACACCCACCACAGTGTGAAAAGAGCCCATTCTCTCGGATGTATAGTGAATCCAGTAATGCTCACTGTATATAACAGTGCCCAAATATTTATGTATAAAACCACATGAATATTTAAAGGTATGTTCTGGGTTACAAGTTAAACTGCATAAACAGCATTTTGTGGCATAATGCCAATTACCACAGAAATGCATTAAAAACATCATGGTACGATACAATAGAACCACATAGGGCCAGGTAGTAAACAATAAAATAAACAGTTTTAGTAATATTGCCACAAGACATACGGTGGGTTTATACTACAAGATTTAAGTCTTGATTTCCACACATTAATGGAGATCAGTGGCAAAAGTCTGAAGTCGAAAGCAAATAGGTGCTTGCTTGTTCACATGACGATCTGAAAAATTTACATTGCAGATGCCCGAGAGATACATCTGTCTCCAAGTGAAATGTGTTTTGACTGGAAAAGACCTCAGCAATGACAGACAGTTGTGTAGTGTGAAAACAACAGCAATCCAATGACTTTGGATGTTGTATAGTTACAGTTTGTGGGCAGCATTATACATTACACTTGTTAACATGTGACTAGTGTGATAAATCACTTACTGACCTTATCTTATAATCTTTCTGTTATCTAATCTTTCATCGTCAACGTCATAACCACGTAACACCACTAAACCAGACAAACGACACATGCGTTAATACCAGAAAGTGGCTTTTTACCTGGACCAAAAAGTTATTCAGATAACAGGAATGATCTCCAAAACAAATAACCGCCTAAAAAAGTAGTTCCACCACAACGTCAATTTAGGCAACTGTCAGTTCACATAATAAACATGTTTACTGAGTAACACATAAGTACATTAACAAAAACATGAGCTTCACATTTCTGAGTTAAACCCTTTTAAACACTGGTTGTTGTAACCACAAGTTTTGTCCATTTTAAAACAAACTGAAATTATCTCAGGAAAAAAAAAAAAGTAGAAAATGGTACCTTTAGGGGTACAATAGCTTGTCACTGGGATAGTTCCCTGAAAGGGACATCTTTGTGTCTTATCTACCCCTAAACAGTTCATAGTAGAAGGCTACCTTACGGGTGCTCTAAGGTACTTAAATGCACCTTTTATGAGTAGATAAGAAACAAAGTTGTCCCTTTGAGGGTCCTACCCCTGTGACATGCAATTTTTGCACATTTTCTAGCAGCGTATGCCACAAATGCTGTCGATAGAGCTTAACCCAGGGGTGTCCTAAGAGCTCCTGGGCAACCTTCAAACAAACCTTACTTCCAACCCCAGTTAAACACACCTGTGCCATCTACTCAAGGTCTTATATATTAATAGAAACTTCTAGGCTGGTGATATTTAGCAGGTTGGAACTAAATTCTACAGGACATCAGCCCTCCAGGTGCAGGACTGGAAACACCTGGCTTAACTTGAGCCCAGAACTTCTCTTTAAGACAGGTTTGTCCAATCCTGCTCCTGAGGGCCACGTTCCTACAGAGTTCATCTCCAACACACCTGCTTGGACGTTTCTAGTGATCCTGAAGACCTTGATTAGCAGGTTCAGGTGTGTCAACCCCAGTTAAACACACCTGTGCCATCTACTCAAGGTCTTATATATTAATAGAAACTTCTAGGCTGGTGATATTTAGCAGGTTGGAACTAAATTCTACAGGACATCAGCCCTCCAGATGCAGGACTGGAAACACCTGGCTTAACTTGAGCCCAGAACTTCTCTTTAAGCTCCTGAGGGCCACGTTCCTACAGAGTTCATCTCCAACACACCTGCTTGGACGTTTCTAGTGATCCTGAAGACCTTGATTAGCAGGTTCAGGTGTGTTTGATTAAGGATAGAGCTAAACTTTGCTGGATAGTGGCCCTCCAGGAGCAAGATTCTACATGACTGCTTTAAGGCCATTAATAATTTAGGAACATTTTGAAGAGTCAAGAATGCAAGACCTGTCAGGCTGTGTTTTAGGAGTTTGTATACTGTAACAACAAGCAGTAACTTTATCTAACTTATATACATTCATTTGTTCCAATCTTTAGGTCCACTTGTCAGTCTACACTCTTCCTTTATTGGAACTCACTTTGGAAGTTTCGCATTTCTCGCCGTCGTTGAAGTGTATCGAAGGTTTCTGTCTCTGCCATCCATCGGACGCTTCCAAGTTATCATTCTTGGAAAAGATTCACCATGGCAACTACCGGCATGCAGCTGCTCGGCCTGGTCCTGTCCATCATAGGCTGGGTGGGCGGGTTCCTGGTGTGCACCCTGCCCATGTGGAGGGTCACCGCCTTCATCGGAAACAACATTGTTACGGCGCAGATCACATGGGAGGGCCTGTGGATGAATTGCATCTGGCAGAGCACAGGGGAGATTCAGTGCAAGGTGTATGACAGCCTGCTGGCTCTTCCTAGTGACATGAAGGCCGCCCGGGGATTGACGGTTCTCGCTTTGCTCATCTGCACCCTGGCACTCACGCTGGGTGTTCTGGGTATCAAGTGCACCCAGTGCGTGGGCCTCCCAAGCCTCAAGGCGCGCTTGGCAAGAGTGTCTGGTGTACTCTTTGTCATCGCGGGGTTCCTCATTCTCGTACCCGTCTGCTGGACGGCCCATTCCATCATCAGGGATTTCTATGACCCCTATGTGGCGGCTCCTCACAAACGTGAGCTCGGCCCCGCGCTCTACCTGGGCTGGGGGGGGTCGGCTTTGCTGTTGATCGGTGGATCGCTCCTCTACGCAGGGTCCAATCCCCCTGGGATTCCCTCTTCTCCTACATTTAGCAGCGGCGAGAGCAGCCCGCGTCGAGCGGGTGGACCAGCCCAGGTCAAGGGTTATGTTTAATGACCAGCAGCGACACGCCAGTCCCCGAAAGCCTTCTCTGCTAGAGTTTCCCATTGTGATAGATTCAAATTAATTTTAATCTATTTTTTATCATTCAGAATATTTCTGTAGTCTGATGGAGGTAGTGAATAGAAATGTGAAATCGAGTTTCCTTGCCACCTCTAATGTCCACTTATAAGTCTGTCTTTCTCTGTATTTGTCTATTATGTTATTCAATAATAAAACCTTAAATCCTTTATAGTGTCATTTCTGAATTTTTGGAGGTCTGTCTGTTTATGCAGATGACCGATGATGTCACTCATGTCACTTAAAGCAATAGTTCACCAAAAATGAATATTCTGTCATCATTTTTCTCACCCTCATGTTCATCTAAACCTTCCGTTTGTCTTTGAAACACAACTGAAGATATTTTTAAATAAAACCTTAGACATTTCTATCCCTCCACTGAAGGGCATTACACAAAAATGTTGATACTTATAAAAGTTTCTAAGACATTAAAGAAATCTTAGTTTTTGCTAAAGCTTTCATATGTTTACGTGACACAAGAACAAATAAGTATGGTTTATTTACCATATTTGGTGTGCACTATGTATGTGCATTGATCAATGTTTACATGTGTGAATAAAAGGCTAAATTAAATGTGTTCATCAAGTGTTTTTTTTTTCAGAAGATTGGATTCATTCATTCATATGAATTGTCAAAGTTTTGGTGGACTTTTTAATGGAAGGACAGAAATCTCTCAGGTTTCATTTAAAATATCTTCATTTGTGTTTATAAAATAAATATGGTCTTATGGTATTGGAACGATGTGATGCTGAAAAACTGATGACAGAATTTTCTTTTTTAGGTGAACTATCTCTTTAAGATGCTAGCGTACTGAACATTAAATGTTTAAACTATCTGAAAAGTAGGGCACAACGGGGTAAAAGGCGCCTTTGATATTATTTTCATCTAAACCACTAGATGGCACAAAAACGTGGCGTAGCACTTTCCAAAGTTGTAGATTTTAGTAGCAAATGAGAATCGCTAAAATTAGTGCATACATTTTGAGACAAAGGTCTTCTTTATGATTTTCAGTTTTGTTTAAGATAATTAAAGCAACAGTTTTTAAATAACGAAAGAATATGTAAAAGTATGGTATTTGGGGTAAAAAGCGCCCCTGCTGTTGGGGCTAAAGGCG